AATGTAATAAATAAAAGGATTTTAAGATTATATACATATACATCATGACTACATTCAAGTTGTGCTTCCATCAACTCAGTGTCACAACAAGGCAGATAAAGTTACTCGTGAAAAGCCTATCCTCTGTAGGTCTTATGCACCAACACAAACAGGCTCATGCTTAATTGATGTGGGTTTGCCCCTGCCCACACTGTCCACACTGTTAGCTCACAAAAGATTATGAGGGTCTGACACAGGTGCGTTGGGATTTTAAATAGGCTTTGTGCAAATGAACCAGTGTGAAATACGAGCAAAGTCCTCATCAACACAGTTGGAATTTTTGATTTAAAACCATATGGCTTTCAGTTATATTGTGTAATTATATTGCTTTAATAAAGTAAACTCACTTTGAAAGGTAAGTATATTGTACAGTATAATTTACTTCTATGCAGGTCAACCAACTAAAACACATAAAACAGAAAAAAATGGTGTTTAGCAAAAACAAAGTTTTATCTACAATGGATCTAAACATTTACGGTTTGTTTTTCATCTTTAGACTCTCTCCTTGCTGCTCTCATAGAAATGAGGTTTAGATTTTCTCTCCAGCATTGCGCAACTCAAAGATTTTACAAAATAATCAGTCAACATCAAAGCTAACCTTTACCATAAAGAGCCTGCTTTTAGCAGCAGTCTGACATGTTGCCCACAATGACAAACAGTGTGCGACAATTCAACACACTGAAGCTGCAGAATTAGGAGTGGCCATAAAAGGGAACTGAACCAAGCAAAGTGTCGCTTGGTTCAGTTTTCACCAGCGGAAATCTAAACCCAAACATCAATCAAACACAGCGGTCGACAACACATGCACACACACACACACTTTTATGCTTATAGTGGCTAATTTGTTGTTATAGGTAAAGTGCTGTTTCAAGCACACATACCAACATACTGCTGAAGTTGTTTTGATTTTGGCTATGAAGAGATTAATTAGTTCATATTTTATCAAACTATCCTGGTTATCCTGTGTAGAATACTTCTCCAGCAATTAAATTGTAATTGTATTTATTGTGACCTTTCTTTTATCTTCTGGTTTGAATTCTGCTGTGAACATTTTTATTTATTTCCCAAATGCTTCATTTAGCAGATGAATGCCTAAAAGTATGTGTTCCAAGCTGTGTAGTTTTCTTTCTAAGACCCACTCTGTTGTAGAGTCTATATTTCATGTGCAAAACAAGGAAATGTTATAATCACATTATATGCTAACTGCTGTAAATGGCTTTTGAACAGCCTTATGTTGGATAATTAGTTATTTTGACTAAAGAAAAGTGGTAAAAAGTGGAAAGTGCAAAGTGGTGGATTGCTGTCTTAAAACAACTTTAACCCCAAAAAAGCCATTGCAGTTCTAATAAAATGTTTACTGTTATTTGCATGTAATTGTATGGTTGTTTGCCAGCATAGATACCTGTGGTTAGTTGTAGTTTACATTTCTATTGGAGTAATAATGTGTAATTACAAACTTTTTAAAATTAAAGTTGTTTGGAAATGGCAGCAGTCCACTGTAGTCCTGGCCCCAAACACTTAGCAAAGATTAAGCTTAACTCCTCCAAACTGAGACTGTTTAAAAACTGTAACTTGTTCATATTTTAAAACCGTTTTACTTTCAAACTGAGAATGTTTGTTTCTCAAGAAAAATGTCAGATTTTACAAAAAACAAAGAAGTAAAAATCCCAGTAATTTGCGTTCAACACCTCAGCTGCCAAACATTTCTGTTACATAAAAAGAAGAAAAGAAAGAATTTGACTTGTAAACATCTAATTCAATATATGTTTTGGTCAATTTTAGTAGAAAGAAAATAACATTGGAGGACTGAAGATAATTTGTTCTTTTCCATCTGCTATTTGATTTTTGATTTTTTTGAACTTCAGATTTAAGCGTTTCTTGGTTCGTTGAGCATCCGAAGCAAAACAAGTTCAAAGAGGAGAACAGAAAGTTTTTTTACATAACCTTTACTGAGCAGTTAAAACACAGAGCGATGTCAAGTTTGCATCATGTTCATCTGGCCTACAGGAAACCCACAGAGACAAACAGCCGCTCATGTAGCCTGACTGAGGTTGGTGATAACGAACTATAAAAGAAGGTTCTGAACAAATTCACTTTTAGTTTAATCGCAGTGTAGAACTTGACGAGTCGGTGATTAAAAAGTGACCCGGTTTGTAAAACTGCAGGACCAGATGGAAGCTGTGATTCAGTAAAGTTAGTACTGGATAGCAAAATCTGGTTTGATGAAAGACGTGTTTGTGATTCCTTGGGGTTTTTCAGTGACACAAGACAGGTAAAGTTTGTACTAAAAGCAGAATTTCTTTCTTATTTTAACACCTGTTCTTAAATTTGTGGAAACTTGTGATTTAAGAACAGATATTTGATCTCAAAACAACAACATATTAGTTGAATAGCAATGATTTCTATATTCCTTTAGTAATTGATTTGCATGACTTGATGTGTTAGCCCTCAGAGTATGTGTTGTGAATGACTCTTTGGCTACTACCACACTAAATTGTAGCTCAGTATCTGCTTTGCAGGGTCACTTGGCTGCTTAGGCCATGTTAAATCGGGTTGATTCCAAAGTTAATCAGTTAAAATTAATTTGTAGGAGTTCATTAAAATACATGCTATAGTTTGTGAGATTTTCACTGACAAACAAATGCACTGACATGAATAAAAACAATGATTTCTGGACACTGTTTTAAATCATTTGGTATATTAGGACTGCATCTTCAGAAAATGAGTTGATATATATTTTGTTTATTACATTTTTGCAAGTACAGAACATAACAAAATAAAACACATTAAGACATTTTTTTTTCTAAATTGACTATATCTCTGTTAAACTCTTCTCAAGTAATCACCATCCTGGAGCAAAACAAACCATTCTACCAAGCATATACTGTAGATGCCGCAGCATAGCAGCTTTGTCAACCATGCTTCAGGGATTTACAGTAACATGTAAATCAACAAATATTATTCTCATGGAGAAGATTGCAAAGACATTTTGCAATCTATTTCATTTTTTCAAAGACCAGGAAAAATATTTGTATGCTATAAAATTTAAATTGAATATTTTAAGTACTTCTTTTAGGCAAATTTCTCCTTAAGAAAAATATTTAGTAAGTATGATACGGGTAAAAAGTGGTCTGTTTCTATTCATGTTTCTCACAGATGTTCCACTTCTCCTTTACAAGGCTTTGCTTTTCTGAAGAACAAGAAACAAGAAAGGAAGTCCAGCTGACCTCTTTTCAACCTTTTAACGTTTCCACGACTTTGGTGAGTGAGTTTCTCTATACTCACAGTATGGTACGTGTTTACAGTAAAGTGCTTCAGAGGCCAATATGCAGATAGATGAGCTTGAATCCACCTGAACAACAAGGGTTGAGCATGACCACAGAGCATTTCCTCTAGCTTTTCGCTCAGCATAGTTTTGCATTCTTTCAGTTAAGACTTTGTGCAAGCTTGCATCAAAATAAAACATAATGTGATTTTAGTCACTCTTTCATTCTGCGCAGATTATCTTTTGACCACACAGATTCATGTGGACATACTGGTTTGGTTTTATTTAATTTGGTTATGATTTAATGATTCACACCAACAATAAGTTTTCCAGTCGAATAATTCTGGTTTTCTTTCTTAACACTTCTGACCTCTAGTGGAGGTTACAGAAATTAAAAACAAATATCAGATGACGAGATTTAGAGAAAATAAACCAAATTATACATGAATTTTATGTTGTTTCACATATTTTATCTAATGAAAACACAAAGCATAAACATGTTGGCCTTTTCTGATGAAAGAAACGGATTAATCAATTGTTTAATCAAGTTGAAAAATACAATGTTTGGCACTGAGTATGTGTATTGTTTGATTAAAAATTACCACGATGACAAAGCACCAATCTGTTTATCAAAAACTGTAAAGAAGAATTAGAGTTATTTACATTTTTCACTATACATTTATATCTTATCATTATGCATCATGTTGTTCTTATAAAAACTGAATTTACAATTCAAACACAAAAATTTCAGATTTTAATAATCAAAATATGCAAATCTTCAAATAAAATCAAAATTGATCAAAATTGTGTGATCCAAGGTATGGGTTTCAGAATCGTTATATATTTGTGGCTGATTATGCTGATTATGCATTGTAGTTCTCATTCTTACTGATACTAAACTTGAAAATTGGAGTTGGTTAATGTTCATCAAATTAAATGTTTTTTTGTTTAAACTTTGTATGTGAATTCAAAATTGTATTTATTATACAAAAGCAGCAATTTTAAAATTATCACTCAGGCATTCAACCTCATTTGTAGCATTTAAAAACACTTTTTTATTTGGTTTAACCAAATTGTAAGACTTAAAAACAATGCAGAAGCAGCTATAAATAAAAAAAATACTCTTCATAAAAACTCAGAACCCCTGTATGCACAGTTAAGTTCATACTTTAAGTAGTATTACCACTGAATGGCAGAGTATATCTAAATGTATCCCCATGTTCACTAAAAACATTTGTTTCAGAACACTGAATTCCTGGGCAGACACATTGTTCTTTATTTTTTCTTATTTCACTTTGATCTTAATTTCTGTGCTCAGACGCTATGATAAGCTTTCATAGTGAGATTTTTACAGCCAACAGAGCACAAATGAAGTGCTCTGTTGGTTTAGTATTTCCCTAAAGAATACAATTCAGAACATAATGTAAAATACTTTGTTTAAATACTTTGTCTGATTTAAGATTAAATTATTTCAACACTACTCCAACAGTGGGTGTACTTTAAACATGATATAACGCCAAACAACTTGTCAGACTGAAGTGTAGAGATGGTGTTGTTCAGTCAAGTATGTGGTTTTTCAAGTGGTGGGAAAGATGGCAAAAAATAAAATAATAATAATAATAATAATAACAAGCAGCAACAGTGTTCTTTCTTAGCTCCTTCAGCCTTATTTGGACAACTGGACAACTTGCACAAATAAAATGTAATTTCTTATTTATTAAAACAAAAAAAAATAAGCAAAGACATTTCAGGTGACTGTCAGAGTTTTTGAAGACCACTCTGAAGCTTCTCTGGAGGTGAGTCATTTTTCTTTTTGAAAAGATTTTTGAGCTTCAATGTTTTCTTACTTTTGTCCTTATCTTTGTTCTTGTCATCCCCACCTTCAGGAGGTGATGCAAGTGATGGGATCACAAGCTTTGGTGGTGGAACTGGTGGCTCAACATCAGGTGGCAGCCTGCTCTGAGGCAGGACTGGCATGGAGGCTGACAGTGTGGCTGGGGTTGAAGCCATGGAGCTGCATGACTTTTCAAGGATGCCATCATACACAAGCTGACTCAGTGGGCCAGCGTTATAAAGATCAGATGAAGACTTCCATGGTGACTGGGAGGTTAACATAAGGTCTGGCTGTCCAATGTGGTACGGCAAAGAACTGGACTCAGAGGCTCCCACTTCCTCCATAGGCATTGGTTGTTTTGGTATTTCCATTGGGACATCAACTCTATCTCTGGAAATGTTTCCAGTTGAAGTATCTGTCAAACTGTTTGCATCATCTCTTGGCAGTCTTGGTATTCTCCTTCTGAGAGAACTGACAGATGTGTCAGTGTCATTCCTCAGTATCCCTTTGCCTGTTGATCGTCCCAGACCAAACTCTTGTAAATCTGCAGAGGTTAGGCTTTCCATGCGTTCTTCCAACATCTCTCTGGGCAGTATCTTTATGGCAGCAGTATCAGTATAAGACTCCAGCTCATCTCTAGATATTTTCCTAAGTGGTTTTCTAACTGTTTCAACCATTTTCTCCCTTGCCCCTGCCCTCATGGAGGAATCATGATGACCTTCTCCTTTATGTGAATGCTTTCTAGATCCTGTGTCCTGGGAGATCGCCGTTGCACTTTTTGTTATTCTTCTGGATTCAATCAGTCGTTCAGCATCATCCATTGACATTGTTTTAGGGATACTTTCCATGGATGCTCCCTTCATATCTCTTGATATTTTCCTCTGTGTGTCTGTTGATGCTTCTAATTCAGCCCTAAGCATCTTCCTCACATCCAGTGGTAAATCACATTTCTCTTTGTAGATATTTCTTGAGGTGACATTGTCCTTAAAACTCCCTTTTATGTCTTTATCCATTTTTGTCAACGAAATCTCTGTATTTAACTCATCTGAAAACCCCTTTCCAAGTGCAACATCCATGAAAACTTCACTTCTGTCTCTGGATATTTTCCATGCAGGGGTATTTATGAAAGACTCTTCAGTAGAGGTCTTTAAGAAACAGGTTTCCAAAGTAGTGTCCAAGTATTTGTCTTTTGCTACCTTCCTGTGGGAAACTTCTATATCTATAAAGGTTTCGTGTTCGTCTATGTAAGGATTGTGAACTGGAGATTCAGTCAAAGCTTCTTCTTGTTCACTAAAAGGTTTTGCAGTTGAAGCATCTGCAAGGAACTCAGCTTCATCACAATGGAACCTTCTAGAGGAAGGATCAACAGAAGAAGAAGAAAGCATTTTGGAGAGGGGAGGGGATGTTACATAATCAGAGTCTACAAATCTCTCTTGGGAATCTCTGTTCATGACAAAGAGAAGAAAAGAGAAGAGAGAACAACAGGTAGGTGAGTTAACAACAAATGTGTCAACAGACACAGACAACAGACACATTCCAAAGCTGTTTAAAATAAATGTCAAAAAATCTTTGCAACACCAAGCAGGGAGACATACTGCTTTTTAAGAGTTTTTAGGATGAACTCCTCTCCCTCATCATAACAGGGGTAAGGGGTTCGGATAGGGATCAAAAGGTCAGGGTCTGGAGAAATCAGGGCAGCTGGTGGCTGAGAAATGACACCAGGACGCCGTGTCCTATGTATGGTGGATCCCTGAAGTCGTGGAGAGCGCTTAAGTGGTGGAACTGGAAGTGGAAAGAAAAAATAAATAAACAAGCATTAATTGATAGCCTGGCCCTTGCCTTCCTATGCAGCTCTGCTCAAGTCTAGTTTCCCTTCACTGCTCCGTCTGGCATTTCTCCCATTAACAATGGGCCTCATGCAAGAACCGTTCGTACGCACAGATTTGTTCTTAARTTGTGCGTACGAGTGATTTAGGAGAATTTGTGGCATTCACCAATATTTTTGTATTCTAAGATTTTTTTCAGATATGAACAAAATTCACCAGTGATCCAGACCTGTCGTATATTTTACGAGCAGTCAGTCTGCTGTTATCCAGATGGGTTTTCTTCACTAATAACTTATGTTGACAATAGGCTATTCTGCTTGAATTAGAGTTATAATTTTAAATGTAATAATTTAGGCTAACAATATAAATTGTCCGTCCGTTTTCTGCCGCTTATCCGGGATTGGGTCGCGGGGGCAGCAGCAGAGAGACCCAGACCTACCTCTCCCCAGCGACACCTTCCAGCTCGTCCTGGGGGACTCCGAGATGTTCCCAGGCCAGAGGGGATACATAATCCCTCCAGCGAGTCCTGGATTTTCTCCAAAGTCCCAGACATATTTTGAAAACATTTTAAAATGCTTATTTCAGAACAGCAACTGAGACCACTGGAGACCGTGGGGGGGTGTACGGTGCGCAGCGCTGTGTCTTCTGAATAAATGAAAATGATTTATCACAGTTGTTGTTTATACATTTAGCAGCTCATTTTATTCCACAGCTGACCTGCTACAAATGACAGATTTTATTTTCTGGATCTCTGACAGCAGGAATTAAATTTCTGAACTCATAAAGTTCTTCTTTTTAGTTTTCGCTGTCATTTTTCATGAATGGACACTTTCTTGTATATGAGGCAGGAAATATAGCCTTGTATGGTGTTTTTGGGGTGGTAATTATGCTAATCTCCTCTCGCGTGCACGAGCAGCTGGATATGAACAGGTGAAATTTACGCAGCTCATTTACACACTTTTCCTGAAGACAGAAGAGTTTGTTGAATCTGATGTGGCATGTTCGTACGAACCCTTTGTACGAACAAAAGTAAGAGAAATTCAGGATAAGAATACGAACATGTTCTTGCACGAGGCCCAGTGATTTTGCTGGTTTTGCAGATTTTTAGCCAGGCCAATCAGACAACAGAACGTCGATTTTCTGCACAGTGTCTGCTAGTTGGTTTAGCATACGGCAGTGGAGGAAGTGAATGAAGCCAGTCCGTGTTGATAAGGCTTCCAAATTAAATTAAATTTGTCTGACAAAGTAGCAGCTCTCATTTACAGTCGTCACATTCGGCTCGGTACTTTTCTCCTCTCAGTAGGGTTGTTTACAGCACACGCGATTTCCGGTTAGCTTCTTAGCTTAGCTTCCTTCACAGCGACACACACACACACACACACACATGCTTCAGCAGAGGCCACGCCTCAAGCAGGAAATCGCTTCTCAGTAGCTGCGAGTCCAGACCTTCTGTACGAAGCAAAGTGAAGGACAGGGTCTGGCTTCAATTGATGAAGAGGAAGCATTTTACCTGCATAACACTGTCAAATGTGCTGTTTTAGAAGATTTGGTTAGATGCAGGATAGACAGCCAGCTAGAAAGCTAATTTGTTGTGTTTTGTTTTCTATGATCTGGGTCACTATGGACTGTAAAACAAGACTTTTGGGACTACTAAATTCAAGTAGAAATGACTCTTACCTTGCATCTGTGGTAAGGTTGGTGAAGCGGGCTCGTCTAAAAGATCTTCTATAGATCCCTGTACAGAGCTGTGACATGAACGTGATGACTGTGGCATTCGCGGCAATCGCAGAGCCAGTGATTCTGAGTAGAGCTGATTGGTTAGTTTTGCTAGTCCAGGATTCCTCATAATGGGGAAGCCACAGAAAAGCTCGATCTGCTGCCAGCGATGAAGGCGCTCTCGCAGGCAGGCCGTTACTTCTGACAGCGCATTCCTGTGGAACATACGGAACGTTGTGTGATTAAATGTTTCATATATCTTTGGGCATACCGAAACAAAACCTGAACAGGGTGCTTTGTTTCCTCACTTTGCCTCCAGGATCTTGTGGTCAACCTGGTCTAAAGAGGAGCTATGGGCCACATGGAGTGTCCCCAGTACAGAATTCCTCTTCTTCTTGATCCTTTCTGCCTGCAAAAAATAAAAATAAAAACAGGTTATACAATGCATTCATTCTGAAATTGTTTGGAGTGTTTTTTTTTTTTTTTCATGCATTACCTCTTCCTTGGCAATGGCAAGCTGAAGTTCTGCACTGTGCTTTTTAACATTGTAGTACTGGACCTCTATCTCATGTGTCAGCTGGAGCCACAGCTGAAGGGCCTCTGAGACGGTCCAGCTTGCCAACATCTCCTTCTCTGCCTGCTTCAATGCTCCACGGACCTGACCAGGAGGATACAAATCAATGTTGAGGAATTTCAGTCAGTGAGAAAATATGTTCCCCCTAAAGGGACCCATTGTGCTAATTTCTGACTAATGAACTTCTGTTTTTGAAATGTATTACTTGGTGTTAGATGATTTTAATTCAACATAATAAGTGTGACATAAGGATGTAGATCCATTATTCCTTTGCACTGATTTAGTTTATGAAGGGGACACAGTGATCTTTGCACCTGACCTTGTTTACTTGTTTTTGTTTCCCGTTCAGTGTGCAACATTTGAAGGGAGAATTATTTATACCACAAATGATTTATTAAGCCTTGCAGTTGTAATATACTGTTACACACAGATGTTTTTTATAGTGAAAAGAAAATGTTGTACATTTCTTGCTTGATGTGGCTGCTAAGTTGTCACATTAAGGTCTTGAGCGACACTAGAAAAAATAAAATAAAACGAGGAAGATTTTCTTTTCAACCTCATTTTTTTATGTAACACCAGTATCAACCTTTATTAGAAACAACGCCAGGTTGTTATTTTTAATAGACTGGACAACCTAGAATGTCAGTCTTGAACGAGATACTATTTATAATTTGTGTTCTCGTGCTTCTTTTGCTCAGGATAGTAAATCAGTCATAAAAGCATGTGAACACGTGTCTAAAACAGCATTTGTGAAGTAGCTTCTTGGTCTTAAAGTTGTACCTGTTCCAGTTCCTCCTCTGCATATCGGAGGCGGCTGAGCTCAGAGAACGCTCCCTGCCTCAGCTCGTGCATACGATGAGCCTCTTCCTGTGCCCCCATGATCTCATCCCTCATCTTCTCCTCCAGGTTCTGTTTCTCCTCCGCCACGTTGCGTTTTTCTTCCTGGGCTCGCTCCAGTCTGAGGAAATGATTCACAAGTTTTTTACTTTGTCACACACAATGAAAACAAGATCAATAAAGCATAGAATGGTGCATTTACTGTTCCTGCAGGTCAATGAGGCTCTGCTCCGCTCTCTGCAGACTTTCTAAATCTCTCATCATTTTGTTAATGTGAACTTTACTGGCTTTGTTTTGAGCCTGGGCAAACCAGCAGCCTCCGATTCCCATCACCACAGACACAATGAGCAGCAAGTCTTTCATGTAGTTATGAGGGGGTCCTGGGATGGAACAGAAAATACTAAAAGCTCAATATCTGCACATTTATTAGTCGTTTTTTTGTTTGACAAAACTGCTTGGTTGAGGTAGCCGTACTAAATTAGAATTACTCCAAAAGGTAATCAGTTGTAGATTTGCATCTAGTGGTTATATTCAGGGAGTTTTATTAAAGGAGATATTTTGCTAACACAACAACCAACTAAACATAAGTTTAAATATTTGTACATACGTGTAGGTGGTCCAAACAGCACCACATCCAGTGCTTTAATGCTGAGTTTCTGTTTATCTCTCTGGTCCAACACTTTCAAATGACCACTCAGGAAAGATGGTTCATTTGCTGCAATCCTACAAATAAGAAATCAGTTTAGCTTCAGCATGAAACAAAACATAGTGCATTGCCTGCGCACACTCCTGTGTTCAGCTCACCTTGGGAGAGTGTTTCCATTGACCTTGAAGTCTTTAAAATTCCTCTCATACTGGGGCAGCTCAACAAATTCTTTCAGCCAGCGCAGCACTTCATCCTGAGTCCAGTTGTGTACTGACAAATGGAAATCAGACGTTACATGAAGTAAAATGTTCACACCTATGGGAACAAACACTAGCATTTTCTTTCATATATATATATATATATATATATATAAACACCTTCTGAGGATTTCCAGCCCCTCCAGAGCTCCTCCACTGTGATGTGCTGGTCTTCTCTGTGCAGCTTGCTGTGTTTTTGGGTCTGCTGCTGCTTCATGTCTTCAATGATAAACTGCAGCGTGAGACGACAGAATAACTCAGAGGTGAAGGAACGACTTGGACAATAACTGCATGTGCCCAGACATGATGCATGTTCATTCTCAAGAGTTGTGAATTTAGTTTAGAATTTTAAAATCATGTAGTCTGAATATGAGCTAATTTGGTTTTAACATGGGAACTTTTATATTGTGTTATTGTGCAACATGGATATCAGTTTTGTAACAATGATGGAGCATTTTGAAACAGTTTAAATGAGCACAGGAGCAAAAGGGGAGTATTGCAAATGTAATTGATAGTGTGTGTTTGAGCTGTCTTGGAATGTGTTCTGTGTCATAAACACAGTCATGTGATGGCTAAAGGAATGTCAGGACTTTAATGGACCTGGTCTCATCTTCAAATGTCTCTGCACCAACAGCAACCCGAGTCCCCGGATACTGTGTCTATGAACTGCATTCTGAATTGCAAGTCATTCAGGGTTTACTACCAATGCATACTTTCTGATACTTTGCAAGCTATTTGCTATTTTATTTTTTTATGCGCAACAGCAGAAACTACCCCCAAAGGTGTAATTTTAATATATTGCTTGTGTGGGTAAATATGCCTCCTCTAATTGTGCAATAATTTTGTTATTGATTCACTGAGAAAATAATTTAACCCTTTAGTATAAACAACAAATTTTTATTAGGGCCTGAATCTGTTTTTTGGGACAACTACATAAATGACCTGCAATAAGGCTCTAGTTGTTACTCTTTTAGGTTTGACCATAAAGGTCACCAGAGTTTCAGTATTCTATTAGTGCAAACCAGTTTTGTCACTGAGCCAAAAGCAAAGTTACCCTGTTGCTATCCTTGAAGGAGCACTTGACTCCTCCAAGCAGCACACCTGTTGTTGTACTGCCTGCCTCTTGCCTGCAAGAACCCACACGCAAGAAACATAAAGAAAAAATAGGAAGAGAAAGATTTGTACCTCCATGCTCTCTTCCACCTCGATGCCGCCATCTTGGTCATCGTCCATCATCTGATGGATGCTCCGCAGGGCCTCCAGGCTGTAGCGATCGGCCTCGTGCAGACATGGTGGAGATACAGTCATGCATGGGTCTGCACATAAATCACACATCAATTAATGCACGTCACCCAACACGTCACAGGCTAAAGTTTTAAACTAAGATGTCACAAGATCTGTTAGCACTCAGAGGATGTGTTGGGTATGACTCTCAGCTGCCACACCAAACTACAGAAGCAAACTTGAGCGTTCACATATAGGATACTTGGAATAAATCCAAATGAGCACAAGGCAGTAAGGCACTTGACCAAACTGGTAAAGTACTTCACTGTCTGGAGCCATGACTGAATCAGCCATAACTAGCGCTTTAATCGTACAGTGTAATCCAGGCTTATGACGTGCAGCTTCTTGTTTTCAGTCTGTCTGATGAGTCAGAGCTCATTTTGTCCACGTGAAACACGAGCATGCTTGCTTCAGGGAGCAAATGTACTGAGAGGCCAAAGGTCTGCCAGTTAAATCACCATCAGCAAACTCCAGAAAAACAAGCAGCTTCCTGCTCCCACTGGAGGAAGTCGCTCCAGTGGGACAAACAACTTAGGAGGATACAGTTTCTTACTGGTGTGTGACTGAAGAAAAATCTTCTGAAAACAAACAGTGGAAGTGAAATGCTTTATTACATGAGATGTGAGCTGATCTTTTCAAATTTAAAATTAGGGAAATTAAAATTAAAATACGTATATGTGCAGTTGTTGTGTTTCTACTTTTACTCCGTATTCCCACAGATACAGGTTACAGTCAAGTTCAGACTCTCCAATGGGTTTACAGGGGCAGTAGCCTGGGGAACCCTTATACAGACAGATAATTCTAATAGCTCAACAAAATGTTAAAAACATTGGACATGATACTCAAACACAGCACACTGAAAGTCTAGCTCAATAACTCTAAAACTGACTGAGTTGGAGCCAATTTTGTGTTTGCTAAGTTTGCTCAGCTGTGGCAACCATCTTGAATCAGGTTAGCTCCAAACAGATGCCAACATATTGATTACTTCAAATCAGTTGAGTGGTTCATGAGATCATTTGGTAACACTACAAACAAAAACACAAGCAAAAACATTTTTGTCCTTTAGTCTTTGGCAAAGAGCTACTGGTTCAGTTCAATAAAGTATTACGGATAACTAGAGATATTCAAGTCAGTCTAGCTGAATAACAATCAGATTGCTATACAAAGCTTGTAAAAAGATGTCTGTCAAGAGAAACCAGCAGGTTCCTCATTCTGATCAAGAACAGGAACAGATGGCGACAGTGGAAAGAACCAACTCATTTTTATCAGGTAGAAAGATCATGACTTTTTAAAGGCCATGCACAGAGTTGTGGTTTTGTTTTAATGCCATGATATTTAAGGTTAACCTACATACCCGGTGGGTCACCACCTGCAGTGGAGGTATAGCCCTGGAGGTCTCCCGCACTTTGCGCAGCCACAAAAAGCGCAGCAGAGAAAATGAGCCATAAGGGGTACAAAAAAAGCATTTCCGACCCCAGAAACTGTTGTCCGAAGTCAAGAAACTCCTCAAAACAGAATGAGAAGTAACACACGGGAGGGAGCAGCGTTCCAGTGGCAAGTGTCAGTCTGCAGAAAGCGATCTGTGTTTCTATTACGGGCAGAGCCAGAGACGAGATGTGACACTGATATTCACTTGAGATGTCAGATTAGCAAGTTTCAAAACAGATGACAGAAGTGAACTTTTAAACAGTAACAGAAAACTGTAGGTTTGTGTGCAAAACCTCTCCAGAAACAAGTAAATCTCTGAAGTATTCAACAGGTTACTTTAACATCCATAAAAAACAAAACAAAAGAAAAACATCAGAAAAACTGATCCAGTATATAAAATCCAGGTTTGCACCCTCCCTGCTGACAAAATGAAGTATTCAAGTATAAATAGATGTTAATAAAATAAAAAAAATGTTGTCTAAAAGCTCCGTATGTCAGGATCTGTGTTTCCTATCCAGTTTGTGTTGAGTTTGAGCTTTTTATAATTTAACTGAAGAACTGTTGTCTCCTCTGCGTCCCCCACCCCATCCCATCAAGGCGGAGGGGTTGACGTTCTTCCCCAGAACTGACAGCCTTTGCCCTCCCCTTCCCGTCAACAGGACCCCTGCATTAACCCAATTCCCATTGGAGACATACACAAGAGAAAAGCTTCCAGTTCAGGGGCTGATCGTACGTGTTTGCTTAGTGGAGCAGTAATATTGTTTATGTCTCTGTGCCTGTGTGTGTGACGCATCAGCTAACATGTGAAGAAAATTCTCAGTTGGAGTCAGGATTGTGTCCACAGCTAAGCAAGCTAAGCTCAGCGAACACAAAAATAACTAGGCCTATGACCAGTTCTGCACATTTTCAGCTCAAATTTAGTAGTAGGTGTGAGACGTCACCAATACGTCTGTTTTTAAAACTTTGAGATTAACTTTTGGCATCAACTCTGTCTGTTAGCAAAATTTCTCACAAAATTGACTAACTTTCATAAAACAATCATTGGATAAACTAATACAGCTGATTAGATTTTTGACAATAAAATTTAAGAAGGCCATTAATCAACATAAGTCTATACAAAAATGAATATTACTTAATGACAGGCAATGTTTTAAATAGTTATTTTATTTTCACAGTTCCTTTTATTAGTGTCTAGGAGCATTAAAATTTCAGTGTTAAACTTTTGGGTGCTGATTTAACACCCCCAGTGCTATTTTAACACTTTCTGAGTAAACTGACACCCAGTGTTGGTGTTAATTCGCAGTGTTGATTTCCTCAGTGTTGTCTGAACACTGGACAGTGTTAAATAAGCTCCACCCATGGTTAACTGTTATTTAACACTTAACAGTGTTGTTATATAACACTTAACAGTGTTGTTATTTAACACCATGCAGTGTTAAAAGAAGTAATCTGAAAAGTCCAGCCCGTTTCCACCTCATGTCAGACAGGCCAGTATTTTTTCAGCAAGGAATGCTGGGTAATCTTGTACAAATTATGTGTTTGTATGTTTATGACTATTAAATAATTTCATGAGAGTAAAAAAAATTGTTGTTCTCGTTAATTGTTTTGTTCAGTTTGATCAAGTTGTTCAAGTTTAAGTTTATGTTATTGTTCATAAATCGACACCATGAATGAGAGGTACTTCCTGGTGTGTGAAGGGTGACTCTATTATACTTTTCTAACTAATTCAATTCAGTTCAGTTTATTTATATAGTGCCAAGTCACAGCATACATTGTCTCAGGCAGTGGTGTCACTAGGCCTATTTTATGGAGGGTGGAGCCCCCCTAAAATTTTTTGAAGCCCCCCTAAATTATTTTGGTGTCAAAAATTATAATTTTCTTCTTTATAAAAATTCAATCTGAATTCAATACGATGATGTTTTGGGGTATTTTTGAATTGATGTTAAAATATTATTTGGCCTTGAATGATTTAAAAATAACTATGGAAAAAATAATCTGAAAGTGTAGGTACATTTGGCCTCATGCAAGAACATGTTCGTATTCTTATCCTAAATTTCTCTTACTTTTGTTCGTATGAAGGGTTCGTAC